TATTTGGTTGGTCTGCTTTCTTTGCTGTGATTTCATTTTCTCTGGTGACATCTATTTAGCCTTAGGAGTGCTCCCGTCTAGAGCAGTCCCTCTAAGATACCCTGCAGAGGTGGTTTGTGGGAGGCAAATTCCCTCAACTTTTGCTTGTCTGGCATTGTTTAATCCCTCCTTCATATTTAAATGATAATCATGCTGGATACAGTATTCTTGGTTCAAGCCCCTTCTGTTTCACTGCATTAAATATATCATGTCATTCTCTTCTGGCCTGTAAGGTTTCTGCTGAGAAGTCTGATGATAGCCTGATGGGTTTTCCATTGTTAGTGACCTTTTTTCTCTCTGCAGCTGCCTTTAATACTCGTCCTTGTCTTTGATCTTTGCCATTTTAATTATTATATATCTTGGTGTTGTCCTCTTTGGGTCCCTTGTGTTGGGAAATCTGTGGGCCTCCATGGTCTGAGAGACTATTTCCTCCCCCAGTTTGGGGAATTTTTCAGCAATTATTTCTTCAAAGACACTTTCTATCCCTTTTTCTCTCTTCTTCTTCTTCTGGTACCCCTATAAGGCGAATATTGTTCCATTTGGATTGGTCACACAGTTTTCTTAATAGTCTTTCATTCCTGGAGATCCTTTTGTCTCTCTCTGTCTCAGCTTCTCTGTATTCCTGTTCTCTGATTTCTATTCCATTAATGGTCTCTTGTACCTCATCCAGTCTGCTCTTAAGTCCTTCCAGAGATTGTTTTATTTCTGTATTCTTCCTCCTAACTTGATCCTTTAGCTCTTGCATATTTCTCTGCAGGCCCATCAGCATGGTTATGACCTTTATTTTGAATTCTTTTTCAGGAAGATTGGTTATATCTGTCTCCCCAGGCCCTCCTCTCTTGGGGGTTGTCTGGGTAATTCTGGAGTGGACCAAATTCTCCTGCCTTTTCATGGCAATAGAGATAGTCAAAGGCAGGTGGTGCATGTGTCAGCTGGAGAACAAAGTCCCTTCTTGCTTGCTGGTCTCCCTGCCCCTCTCTGCTGCCTGTGTCAGTTCCCCACACACTGGGAGCAGCCCTTGGGGCATCCCAGAGCCCTGCGGGGAGAGGCAGGCATGCTGGGTGTGCTCTACTGTGAGAATGGCACCCCTTTGTGCCCTGCCCTGGCTTCCTCTGCCTGCTCCAGGCAGCCGTGCACTGGCGGCGGCCCCGGGTTTCACCCGGGTGGCTGCGGGCCAGGAGAAGGCTCTGGGTGGCTGCTGTTGGCACAGCTGCTCCCAGGCTGCTCAGCCACGGCTTCTCCGGAGGATGATTTGGTCCAGCTGTGAGGACCCTGTCCCTTTAAGACTTTCAAAAAGCAGTCACTTTTCTTTTGTACCAGGGGAGCTGGCTGTGGGACCCACTCACAGATTTTACTTTTCCATTTCCCTAATATCCAGTGCACCATGCAATGTGTGTGTGTGCTCCTGGTGCAGATCACTAGGGCTGGTTATTTAGCAGTCCTGGGCTCCCACTCCGTCCGCACTCCAACTTCTTTCCTCCCACTGGGGAGCTGGGGTGCAGGGAGTGCTCGGGTCCCACTGGATCATGGCTTGCATCTTACCCCCTTCATGAGATGCTGAGTTCTCGCAGATGTAGATGTAGCCTGGCTGTTGTACTGCATCCCGTGGCCTTTCTTTTAGGAATACCTGTATTTGTTGTATTTTCAAAAATATATATGGTTTTGGGAGAATATTTCCAGTGCCCTACTCACGCCGACATCTTGGCTCCTTAGAGCTACACTTTAACCTTTAAGACTTGTATCATGAAGCTTCTTCACTGGAAAGCTCCCTTCATGAGCTATCTCTCCTCTACTCTCTGGAAACCCTGATTTATAATTATCCCTGTATATGTTTATCTTCTCTATTAGATCCATGGAGATAAAGACAGTGCCTTCTTATAGCCCAAGTACTGTATGTGACAGATGCTCAAAACATGACTGTTGAATGACTCAAAGTATGAATGTAGAGAGGACTCTGAGGTAGTGAATTCAAGTATTTGAAGAGTTTTTATAAGAAATGGACTTATTTTATTTTATACATAGGAGGTACTAGAATCACTAATTGAAAGTTTCTAGGAGGAAGATTTCAGTTTAATAGGTAAGAATTTCTTCACCTTTGGAGTTGTTCAGATATACACAGTTACCTCACGAAGCAGTGATCTTTCTTGTACTAGAAGAATTTAACGAAGAATCCAAGCATCTTTTAGGATGCTATAAAAATATTATTTCATTGAGCCTTCAAGTGATTATCAAACTGTAATCCTTAGAGCTCTATGGGTTCCAAAAAGATGCTTCAGGATTGATGGTGAGATGAGGGGAAAGGTAAGGAACAGAAGATCCAGTCAGTGAAGCTCTGAGCTCCCTTTGTTCACTCCACAACAGCAGCAATTCTGCTCTTCAGCTGTGTTTTGACATGCTGGCTTTTAGCTACAATGTGGTTTGAATAAAGAGTCCCACAGCTGTTAAAAAGCATTTGAAAACCATTGAAGCCTAGGACTTCACTTAAAATCTGCGTGATTATACATAAATATAACTCACAATGCTTTGCACATAAATCATAGGTGCTCAGTCGATGTTTCCTGTTTAGTGTCTTGTTTTTTTGCCCTTTAGTCCCCTCAGAATCTCCTGTAGAATCTTAACCTTCTATTGGATATTAGATGAATTTTCCTTCTGCTTTCTTATGAATTCCATCAAGGCAGTCACTGCATTGCTTTTCTTCTTTGTGGCTACTGGGGGGCCCCTATATTGCATTCACCCAGTGAACCTCTGAACACATACAGAAATAAAGAACTGGTTCCAGCTTTTCTAGCTAAGTAGCTACAATGGAAACAGAATGGGTCAAAATTATATTACATGATTAAGAACACAGAAGTTAATGGTATAGGAGAATGAAAGAAGTGAATTGAAACATCAAGGACCCAAGCAAGGAGAACAGAAATGGAGGTTTTGCTGTACCCTCTGCCAGTCTGGCATGTCTAGTTGAGCGCTCACAGCAGAACTATATCCCCTTTCTTAATTCAGAGAGATGAGAACCCTTGGTCCTACTTTGGTCTAGATTTTTGGTACAGACTTCTTTTGAACATTTTTTTCTGCTGAGGTACAGATATGGGAACTTTGGGTTCTACTTCTTAATGCCTTGGTGTCTACTCTCCCCAGCTGCATATAACGCTGGCTAGTATTACAGAATAAAAATGTGACTTTCACTGGTTATAGAGAGAAATGTACAATATCCAAGTACCAAGCCATGTGAGATACATCCAGGTACTAGAGTCCAAAGATTAATGGTAGTTTTACCTCTAGCTTTTCATTATAAAAGTCTCTTGTGGTATAATTTAGTGTAGCATGATTTGTGTTTTCTCCTGCAAGCCTTTTGCTATCATTTTCTTCATTGACAACACCAGGTTTCTTCGCTTTGGTGTCTAGCAGATACTGGAATTGCTTCTTCCTGAAGAAAGACAGTGAAGAGGTATAGAAATTACTTAACAGATCTGTGTTTTATTTTTGTTGACTTTAGAAGGGACCATACCCTTTTTTTTGAATATCTGTTTTATGAGTTTGAGTTATTTATTTGAACTCAGTTCAATAAATCTTTCTATTAATGAAGTTTCCTAATCTTTCTACTAAAGAAGTTACTCAACCCAAATTCTTATTTCTTAACTGTCAACCACCAACATAAACATGTCTCAAGCATTTCTAAAGTGAAAACACTCTACCTCAAACAAAATCAATATAAAATTTAAGTAATCCCAGAGCACAAGACAACCCAATTCAAGATGCAGTAGGCCAAACTTACAGTCTTTATATCCCATAAAACATAGTTAGTTACCTCTTATAAATCACACAAATAGTTCATAATTCCATTATGCAGCTCAGTAATATTACTCGGAGCTAGAAAATGGAATAATATACTGGTTTAAGTTTAGGCAAAAATAAACAAAAACCAAAAACTTCCAACTGTTAGCATATTAGGGCAAGATCCTATTAGGAAATAAATAACGGAACAGGAAGCTTCATTTGGTTATGACGAACATCACCACCGCTCTCATGAAATACCACTTGCAGAACCACAAGACGAGATTCCAGACAAACGCAACTCATTTCCCATGAAGGTCATTTTCTCGTTTCTACCACTTCAGGTGTCACTAACTGATGTGATATCAGTACTCTACTATGAACTCTTAATTGAAGATAAAGGGCAGAAGAGAAATAAATCTTTTTAAAAAATGACTTCTTTTTTCCAGTTAAAAGTATAACACAACCATTTTAGAAATTTTAAGAAGCGTAAGTTTTGAAAAGTATACAGAAATAGATAAAAATCAACTATAAATCTATGGCTCAAAAAATCTACATAAACCTATAACATTGTTCACGTTCGACAAACTTCTTTGCAGGCTTTTTCTATGAATTTTTGGAAGAAGTTAAATCATACTAAACATGCTGTTTGGTATACTTGTTTTGACTTAATGCTATATAATAACTATTTTCTGTGTCATTGAAATTAATCATTTTAAAGGACAAATAAAATTAAATTGTGATGTAGATTATCTAACCAGCCCCTTTTATTGGACATTTAGGTAGTACAATTTCTCACAAAGAAAAAAGTGAGCAACATATAGATCTTTATCTGGATTAATTTTCTTTATTGATTTTTTAATTACAAAAGCAATACACCCATACATTTTATGTCACTGTTATTAGTCTTTTCAAATAATTGATTTTCCATTAATTTTGTTTTTAATGCCATTTCTTTTAACTTTCTTCAGAATTATTTTTGCTGTTCTTTTTCTAACTTCTTTCTATAAGTATTTAGCTCATTCATTTTTCACCCTTTATTCTTTCCTAATATAACCATTTCAAGGCTAAAATATTTTCATTTAGCACCACAGTAACTTGATCCCACAAGTTTTGTAGTGTAGTATTTTTATTATATTTCAGATCAAGGTTGTTTCAAATTTCCATTCTGAAATTGTCTTTAACCTTTGGGTTATTTAGAAATGTGTTTCTTCATTCCCAAATATATGGGGATTTCCTGGTTTATATTTCATAACTGAGTTGAAGCTTAATTGCACTTTGAACAGAGAATACAGTCCATGTAAATCCCTTGGAATCTGTTGACATTTGCTTTATGGAAAACTTTTGGTCAATTTTTATACATGTTCCATGTATGCTTTAAAAGGCTGAGTATTCTGCAGTTGTTGTGGACAATGTTCTCTAAATGTCCATTAAGTCAAATTTGTTAATCATGTTGTTCAAGTATTTTATACCCTTTTTCCAGTAATTACTCAGAGGTATATTAAAATTTCACTCCATAATTATGGATTTGTAGTGATGTCAGTTTTTGATTCATAAGATTTCAAGGCTATGCTAATAAGTCAATAACAATTAAATTAGCAAATTCATCTTTTTACTTCTGTGAACGGAACCTATTACCATTTTGAAATGATCCCATTTATTTCTAGTATTGTTTTTGACCTTAAGCTATTTAAGTCCTCAGTGGCTACTCTGTTTTTATTTTCGTTAGTACTGATGTTATCTTTTTCCACTTTTTTACTTTCAGACTTTACCTAACTTTGTTTTTCAGGTGCATCTCTTGTAAATAAGATATATTTGAACTTCATTTTTAAATTCAGTCTGACAGTCTTTGGCCTTTAACCAGAACAGTTAGTAAATTTGCATTTTATCATTGAGGTTTAGATTGGCTACTTCGATTGGTTCATAATAAATAGCTCCCTTGAATCCATGCCCTTTACAATATGATTTTCCAGCTAGAGCCCCTTAAATCTTGCCCTGTGACTTCCTTGAAAATACAGAATGTGGAAATGATGGTGTATCAGTTAGTAGCCTAGGCCTTCAGAGGCCTTGAATATTTCTACTCTCTCTTCAAACCCTGCCTCTGCCATGAAAACAAGCCCAGGCAGATTTCTGGAGTATAAGAGGCCATGTGGAGCTGAGACAAGTTGTCCTAACTGAGGCCTTCCTAGACCAGCTTAAAGCTGGTCACCGCCAAGCTAGTGAGAAGGCCCAGCAGAGCTGCCAGCCCGATCTCCAGGTGACTGCAGGCACAGGATGATCCCAGCTGGGGCAGAAGAAACACCCAGCTGACCTATGGACTTGGAGGAAATGCTTCTTGTTTTAAACTGCTGAATTTTGGTACAAATGTAAATGCTGATATTGTAGAATTTAGGTTAAATCTGACATTTTCTTTTCTTTTGATTTGATCCACATGTTCTGTTTCTTTTTCTCTTCTTCTTCTCCCCATTCCCTATCCCCAAAGTTTATCAGCTTGTAAGTTACAGTCTTTTATTACTTGCTTACCACAGAAATTACACACACTCTTAACTTACTAACATTTAAACTTAATTACTGTATATCCATCTTAGATAATACAAGGATCTAGGACACTGTATCTCCACCTGCTGCTTCTCATACATACACTACTGTTGTAGCATATTTTAATTCTATATTTTTAAACCCCACATTATCACTGCTGCGTTATACAATATTCATTTAGCTTTATCCCACAAATTTAGTATTTTCATTGCTCTTTAGCTCTTCTTGTACCTCAGACCTTCTATCTGGGATCACTTTCCTTTTGCCTTAATTATAGGCTTTATAATACTGATGGGAAATCTCTTAGGTTTTGTTTTTATTATTTTGTTTTAAAAATGTCTTCAGTTCACTTTCATTCTTAAAAGATACTTTCCCTGTACATAGACTCTTTGGTTGGCAGTTAATTTCCTTCAGCACATTGAATGTATTATTTGTGGTCCGGTTGTCTGGCTTCGCTGCTGCCATTGTCATGAAGTCATTGTTGATGGGCACTCCTTTGAAGATAAACTTTCTTTTCCTGGTTTTTAAAAATTTTTCATGTTATACTTGCTGCTCTGTAGTTTCATTGTGATGTGACACGACAAGATGTATATTTCCTTTAGTTAAAAGCATCTGGAATTGGTCGAGCTTTTTTAAATGCGCAGTGTGTTTCATCAGTTCTGAAAAATTATTTTTCATTACCTCTTTACATATTAAATATACCCTATGTTCTCTACTGGGTTTTTTGAAATTCCAAACATACGTTAAACCTCCTCACTCCATCTCAAAATTTCTTAACTGCTTTTTCACGTGCTGCATCTTGCAGAACTTCCCAGTTTACTGATTCTCTTTTCCACTGTATCTAGTTGGCTTTAAAACTCTTAATTTAAGTTTTAATTTCATTACATTTTTCATTTATGGAATTTCTTTCAGTTTCCTCTCAGATCTGCTGGATCACTTTTTAAAATTTCCCTTCTCCCCAGATATTTTCAAACTTGTCCTTTTATGTCTTGAAATGTACTAATCATTTTACAACCCATGAGAGATAATTCCAAAATCTAAAGGATTCATGGGTATGTTTCTGCGGTCTTTTTTTTTTTTTTTTGCTAGTTCTTATATATGGTGCCTTATTTCCTTGTGTGCTTGGTTATTTTTATTTCTGTTTTCACTGTGTGCTAGTCTCTGCCCTTCAAAATTACCCACTGGGATTCTTTGAGATAGGATGGAAGTAACTTCCTCCAGGGGAGAAGTGCATTTACTTTTCCCAGGTATCTAGAAATAGGAACATTTAAACTTTACATTTTAAACCATCCATGCATTATTAATTCAGGCTGCAAATCTACATGAGGACTAATTTTTGGTTGCAACTTCTCAGAGACTACTTTTCTGCTCATATCAAGGCAAATTTCCTTGAAAAGTCCTGAGAGTGGGAAGAAATGGAGGTTTATTCCTGACACACCCTTACCCTGATGGTGTAGCCACTGGGATTCTACCTTTGTCTCGGGAAGTTCTCAATTTATAGTAACCTAGGCTTTGATTTCTACCCTTCCTTCTTTGTGGCTAGAAAAACCAAAATTTAAGTTTTCCTAAATGCCTGTAGGTCAAACACAGTCTGTGTGCGCACCTTACTTCTCAATGTTCCCTTCCCGTAGATTATATCTTGTCAACTCTTCAGTGCAATTATGGAGCTTGTATACTTTGAATTTTATGCAGGCAATTTTAGTTGTTTTTAATGCAAGGAATGGTCAAAGCAACCTAAATCACCATTTTAAGAAAATCTATAACTCCAATATATTCTCGATGAAAAGTTTCAAAATGTACAAAAACAGAGTAAAACTTGAAAACCGCTCAACTACGCCATTACCACTCCTCTGATGTGTCCATCCTTTTAGCTTCCTTTCTATGCCTCTATTCTTATATGCATACACATTTATTTTGTTTCTTTTTATAATAACATTGGGTCATAATACAAATACTATCTTAAGCCTTAATTTAGTTACCTGTCTGCAGATCATTTTATGCTAGAATTGGAGATCTACTTTGTTTTATTTATTTATTTATTTTTGAGAGGGGAAGGCGTGAACATACTCCTCCACTACCACAAATTGTGCAGTTGAGTTCCCCAAATTTGGGAAA